ACGCTGAGGCAGGAGAATCACTTGAACCTGGGAGGGAGAGGTTGCAGTGAGCGAGATCGCGCCATTGCACTCCAGCCTGGGCAACAAGAGACTCCGTTTCAAAAAAAAAAAAGAAAAGAAAGAAAGAAATTAGGATTCCTGTCCCCCCGACTCTCTGAATCCAGGTGATGAGAAGTCACACATTCCAGCTAGAAATCAGAGTCCACATCCCTTTCAAGCACTCAGGATTAAGCCCAGGCATCCCCTGCCAGAGTCTGGACCCTCAAGCCCCCTCCCACCTCTCACTGGGCAGGCACAGGGGGTGCCAGCACAGCCTCAGCATCAGCCCGCATCTCATCCAGAGCCTGCAGCAGTACGCCGTGAGCCGCTCGGTAGCCCAGGCCACCTGTCGCCGCTGCGCCACCCGCAGGCCACAGGAAGGAGAGAGCACCCAGTGCTGCGCCCCCAGCAGTGCCCTCGCCCGCCCAGGCGCCCAGCCTTGCTTCGACCTCAGCGCGCGTCACCGGGCCTGGGAAATGAGCGCGCGCTGCCAGCTCCCCAGGAGCCAGGCCCAGGGCACGCTCACGTCGAGCCAGTGCCGAGGGTTCCAGTCCCAGGCCCCGTCGCCACTCCGCCAGCTGACCCCGCAGAAGTGCCACATCGCATGCCCAGCCCAGCCCTGGGAGTGGTGCCGCCGCCGCCGCCAGACTAGCCAGCAGAGCTGGCCTCCACGCCCCGGCCCGCAACGCCGCAGCCTTGGTTCGGGCAGCGCTGGGAGATGCTGGTGGCAGTGCCAGCAGCAGCGCCCCTGCCTGGGCTGGGGGGAGCGCTTGCCGCAGCCATTCGCATAGCCCTGGGAGTCCACCAGGCCGTAGGGGGAACACTGGCGGAGGTGCCTCCTCCAACACCTCCCACGTCTCGTCCTCCGGGCTTAACACGGCGGCCCGCCCTGAGTCGCCACCACCTGATTTCTTCATGCCGACAACCTGCTGCAAACCCTCGCTGCCAGCTTTCCCAGGACCTTCCCCGCTGCCTGCTTTCTGTGATCCAGCGCTACATTTCTCCCTTCCCTTACTGAGTGCATTCTCCAATCCCCCTCCGCCTGCGTTCTTTAAGCTCTCGCCGTTGGGTTTCTCCATCTTGCCTTCTCCCAAATACTCCGGATCCTCGCCCTCGCCGTCTGTGCGCACGCAGACAAGAGGCGCATCTGGTAGCACCAAGGCCTGGACCTGGGCCCAGTCCTTCTCAGTGGGGGCCCCAGGGGTGACGAGGATGAGGGCGTCGTAGTGCGTTGGGTGAGAGGCTGCGGCCGCGGTGGTGGCAGTGCCCGTGGGGCCCAGAGGCACAGCCCAGAGCACCACATTCGGGCGCTCTGGGGCCGGGAAGGGAGTGGGCCCTGTGGGCGCCGAAGCAGGCGCAGCACCTGGGTCGCCAGGATCCAATCCAAGCAGCATGTCCACCACAAGGCCCACGTCAGCCTTGCCGGCCACGGCCAGGTCTAGCCGTGCGCTGCCCAGGCGCTCCAGGCCTGAGCGCACCCACGACAGCGCAGCCTCCAGGCCGCCGGTCTCAAAGGCCTCACGCACAGCCTCCAGCTCTGCTGCACCCAGCACCTCGAAGCCATCCTGGGCCGGGGGCAGGAGCCTGTGGGGACAAGAAGGGTCAGGGTCAAAGGCAGAAGAGGGGCTGGGTGACATGGACTGGGCTATGAACGACAAGGGCGGAGCTTTCCTAATGATCCCAGAATGGGGCAGGGATAGGAAAGGGAAGGGCCAGACTGACGGCACAGCAAATAGAAACCAGATGGGGAGGGGCCATGATGATATGGGCGGGGCTTCAAGCAATAATGGAGTCTTGATTATTGGACAGGTGGACTTAAGGTCAGGTTTCCCACTCTAGCCTAAAATGGGGATTGGGCTAAGACTTCCATGGAATACAGTATTTGGGGGCGGGGCTTTTCCAAGGGTCGGCTGTGCTGGGTGGGACAAAGCTCACAGAGGGTGGGGCCTAGAACAAAGAATGGCAACTGTATTGTGGCCTAAACACAAGTCCAGCACTATTTGAGGCAGACAAGGTCGCCAAGGCACTCTTTTCAGAGGCTGGGCCTAAGAAGGGTCAGTGAGGGGAGAAATTTCATCTACTAGTTCTTACCAAGGGGGAGTGGCTAAGGTGACTCCCCACCAGGTGAGGCTAAGGAAAAAAGATGATAGTGTACTAGGACAAGGGACTGTCCCTCTCTGAGCCTCATTTTAAAGTCTGTAAAATGAGGAGGCTGGCAGGTGGTAGAGCAAATTCAGGAGGTAGCCAGCAAGTGGGCACAGAAACGAGAGAGAGCTGCAGAAAGTAGGTGGATGAGGATGCCCCAAGATCCTCATTGCTGGTGTGGCTTTAGGTCACTTGAAAACTAAACTGATGGTGGGGAGGGTTCAAGAATTAAGAGTTTTCAGGTAAAATCTTCCAGGAGGCTGGGCAAAGTGTCTCACGCCTGTAATCCCAGCACTTTGGGAGGCCAGGGAGGGTGGATCACCTTGCTTGGGGCAGGGCCTAGAAAAAGGAGCCTCAGGGCCCCAGCAAATAAAGTGTTAAGATTTTCCCTTTTAATCCTAGGGCTTTGGGAAGCCTGGGTGGGGGCATGGCTTGAGGCCAAGAATTTAAGACCAGCCTGGGGAAACAGTGAGATCCTGTTTTGCAGCCTGTCCTATTAGCTACTCTGGAGGCTGAGGCAGGAGGATCATTTGAGTCCAGGAGGTGGAGGCCCTCAGTGAGCTAGGATAGCAGCACTGCACTCCAGCCTGGGCGATAGAGTGAGACCCTGTCTCAAAAAAAAAAAAAAAAAAGGCCGGGTGTGGTGGTTCACGCCTGTAATCCTAGCACTTTGGGAAGCTGAGGCGGGAGTATTGCTTAAGGCCAGGAGTTCAAATTCAACCCAGTCAACGTAGCGAGACCCTGTCCCTCGGGGAAAAAAAAAATAATAGAGCTAAGCTCTTTGCCCCAAACTCACTGGGGGAGGGATCTCATGGATCTCAAATAGGACCTAGGTGTGTAGGGTCTCAACTAAGGGACCAAGCCAGAAAGCACTCACCTCCGCAGCGCTTCTGCCTGGCTCTGCAGCGCCGCCCGGAGGCGCTCTAGCTCCTCGCAGCCGTCGCTGCTGCCGCAGTTCGCCGGTAGCACAAACAGATCCGCAGCTCCCAACCCCGCGCTGTTCAGCAGAGCTGCTGTCTGATCACGGGCCTGGGCTGCAGTCTGTGAATCCCCAGGACGGAGGTTCCGCACAGCCAGTAGCGGGGTCCCTCGGGCCAGGGCGGCCCGCGCTGCCTCTCCCAGGGCTGCAGCCAAGGGTTCCCCGTTCCCCTCGGGTCCGGGCAGCACCAGTACCAGCACGTTGGCTTCCGCCGCCCAGGGCCCCGGCGTTGCAGGTGGGCAGCTCAGCTCGCCCAGAAAAAGGCCTGGGCCCGCAGCTCTTAGGCTGGGAACCCCGGAGTCAGGCCGTCCCTCGGGGGCCTCGAGCGTCTCCACATCCTTATCGCACAGCGCTGCGATCAGCGCGGACTTCCCCAAGCCAGGAGGCCCCAGGAACAAGGCGGTCACGTCACCCTGCGGCGGAGGCATGGCTGGAAAGCAACGGGTGAAGACCTGGGTCAGGGAGCACCTTGCCTTTTCCTTTCCTAGCCGCCCCACTCGGAACCCAGGCCTCAGTCCTCCCCCCAGTCCCCTTCGGTTCTTGAGTGTCTCTCTCCAGGACCTAAAAAATCCAGAGCCCAGACCCTATTCCCCAGGGATTCCAGGTGCCCTGTCTGTCCGCCCTCTTTCTAGACGGAAACGTTTCCCTTTCTGCTTCAAAAACTCTGAAATCAGGCGCGGTGGCTCATGCCTGTAATCCCAGTGCTTTGGGAGGCCGAGGCGGGAGGATCGCTTGAGGCCAGGAATTCGGGACCAGCCTGGCCAACATGTGGGACTCTCTGGTAGAGTCTCCGTCTCCACAAAAAAATAAAATTTAGCCGGGCCATGGTGGCGTGCGCCGGTAGCCCCAGCTACTCGGAAGGCTGCGGCAGGAGGATCGCTTGAGCCCAGGAGTTGCAGGCTGCAGTGGGCAGTGATCACACCACCGCACTCCAGCCCAGGCGACAAAGCAAGACACTCTCTCAAAAATAAATAAATAAAAATAAAACCTCAGAAATCTGGCTTCCAGTCCCTCCTCCCTCGGACACATTGTTATTTTTATCCTTCCCCCTTCCCCCTTCCACATCACAAACCGAGCAAAAAGCCGAACCACGAGATGAGCGCAGTCGGTGGCGGTGGGTCAGCAGCTGAGAAGCCCGACCTCTGGGCCGCAGCGGACGGAGGCCGAAGAGGCCAGGGCGCGGTGATTTAAAGATGCCGGGACGCGTCCCAGTAGCTTTAACCTGACGTCACTCCCTCTTCCAAGGGGGTGTGTCTTGGAAGCGCTACCGCAGAGAGCCAGCCCTTCGCAGCGCCTGCGCAGAACGGCCGAAGTGCTCACGCCCCTGTTCGGCGGCCTCGGGGCCTCGAACAATGAAGGAGTCAACGCGCCTGCGCGCCACGAGCGCCTCAGACTTGCGCAAAAAGCTTTGGTACCTACGCCGCGGGAGGCTAAACGTCATCATGACGCACCATAGTGCAGAGAAGGACCCCTCCCGTTATTTTGAGGACCGGACTGGTGCGACTATACTACTGCCGGATGGCAAATCCGGGATCTCGGCTCCGAGAGGCTCATCTGGCAAAAGGGCGCGGAAACCACGGGGGCCCTGAGACTGAGTGGGCTATCCCACTTCTCTCTGGGTGGCGAGGCTGTAGCGAGCGACTGACAGGCGCAGCGAAAGGCAGCCCTCTGCTGTACGGAGGAAAACTGAGGCCTGGGAGCAGGAACCTGTAGGCAGCGCTTGAGGGTAGCGGGATAGCAGCTGCTAGTGCGCGTGGGAGGCGGGGGCTCTGGGCGGAACAAAAATCACAGGATGTCAGAGGATGTTTCCCGGGAAGAACTGGAATAAAGGGTGGGTATCACTACCTGCCCCAAGACACTTGAGACTGGGATGACGCTGGTGTCAAAGATCAAGACTCCCACGCTGAGTTCAGGGAGTTAGTTTGATGCAGCAGGTCATAGGTCACACCAGTGAAAAGACTCTGAGTCCCAAACCCAGGAAGTCTTTTGGGAGGTTTGAAGCTTCTCTTAGCAAGAACTCCATCAATTAGAGTTCAAGGAGATAGTATGTCGTAAGGGTCAAAGGCAGGCAAGGAGAGCCTCTGGCGATGTCAAAGGTCATAGACTTAGGGTGCCCTCTAAGACTGGTAACAGATGAACAGCTTCACTCATGCACGCTCCTCTCCTGACTAGAAGGGTCCCAGCACCATGGAGGACCCGAACTCTGAAGAGAACATGAAGCAGCAGGATTCACCCAAGGAGAGAAGTCTCCAGAGCCCAGGAGGCAACATCTGTGAGTACACATGGCTGGCTGGCTAGAGGAGGGTGGGGTGCAGGAGCTGATGCTAAGATCATCTCTGGGGCACTTCAGTGTCCAAGGCGCCACAGAGTTTTGCCTGTTGAGAAGGGGCTGTAATGGTCCCTGAGCTGCCCTAGCAGGAAGTGCATCTCCTCACACCGGCTTATGTGGCCAGAGTACTCACCCTCCTCTGGCCACATAAGCAGGATTGCAATGCTTATGCATTCAGAGGGATAGGGTGGCTTCCAAGAGAGGCTTGGGTTGGAGACGTGGCTGGGAATGGTTCTATTGGGAGAAAAGCCCCAAGATTCTGGTCCCAACTCTGTCCTAGACTTTCAGTGTAACTTGAGCCTTGGTTTCCCTGACTGTCAAAAGAGGGTGGCACTATCCACCTCACAGGGTGGTTATGGGATTAACTGCAGCAAAGGGGAAAGCTAGGGGTTAATGATGGTAGCCAGTTTGCCATGTAATAGCAACACCTCCTGCTGTTTTATTATGAGGTGTATTTATTCTCATATTATGAACGATTTTAACATTCATTATCTCATTCAGTCCTTCTAATAATAGGCCCTTTAAACTGGGAACTGAGGCAGAGAGAGGTATTTGTAACAAGAGCTGTAGTCTCAATGCCCTTGAGCCTGAGACTACCGGAAACACACGTGCAGTTGAACACGTTGGGTTTATTTCTCACTGCAATGAAGAACACACACCATGGGGGAACTGTGGGGTGTCTCACTAAGAGTAGTAAAAACGACATAGGATTTGGGCTTGTGGGTGGTGATTTTGGGGAATGTGCGAGCAAAATTGTTTTGCTGTGGATTGGATGCTACCAGGAAGCAGGGGCAATTCTGTGATTGGCTATCGTAATAAATCTTATCCAGAAGGAGGAAGGAAGAAGGCAAGGCTCAAGCTCTGACTGATAAAGCAGCAGCAGACATTCACATGAGCCAGGATAGGAGGATGTTTGGTCATTTTTCTGCTTGGACAGCATTCATATTTTGTCTGTGCTCAGACATTATTATGATGTAGTCTTGTCTTGATTCATTCTAGTCATAGCATGACCTTGTCTGTCCTTGATATTCTGTGAAAATTTATGTTCAACAGAACACCAAGGTCTAGCTGTGAGTACCAGGCCAGATCCTGGATGTCGGGCTGGATTTCTGTTATCATTAGTCATAATTGCAAATGACTGTACAGCAATTCATTTATTCCTTCCAACAGTCCTATGGAGTAGATACTGTTATTAGCCCATTTTCCAGATAAGGAAACTGGTGTAATTGCCTAGGAAGTGGTGGAGCTGAGATTCAATCCCAGGCAGTCTGGCTCCAAAGGCTGTGCTGTAATCACCATACCCCTCTGTTGGGCAGGCTGACTCTCTGGGTTCCAACCCTGGCTCCACCATTTCCTTTCCTAGCCTCATTGACTATGGGCAACTTGCCTAACCTCTTTGAATCTCAGTTTGCTCATCCATAAAATAGGTCCAAGAACAGTTCTCCTGTTTGGTTGTCCAGCATTAGCATAGAACCGAGCACATAGCACACTCAATGTTAATTGTTGGTATGATTCTGGGGTTCAGGAGAGGTCCTGGAGACTCCTGCCGGCCTCCCCTGACCTCTCCGCACATCCCTCAGGCCACCTGGGGGCCCCGAAGTGCACCCGCTGCCTCATCACCTTCGCAGATTCCAAGTTCCAGGAGCGTCACATGAAGCGGGAGCACCCAGCGGACTTCGTGGCCCAGAAGCTGCAGGGGGTCCTCTTCATCTGCTTCACCTGCGCCCGCTCCTTCCCCTCCTCCAAAGCCTTAATCACCCACCAGCGCAGCCACGGTCCAGCCGCCAAGCCCACCCCACTGGTTGCAACCACTACTGCCCGGCCCACCTTCCCTTGTCCTGACTGTGGCAAGACCTTTGGGCAGGCTGCGTCTCTGAGGCGGCACCGCCAGATGCATGAGGCCCGTGCCCCTCCTGGCACCTTCGCCTGTACAGAGTGCGGTCAGGACTTTGCTCAGGAAGCAGGGCTGCATCAACACTACATTCGGCATGCCCGAGGGGAGCTCTGAGTGCAGCTTAAGCGTCTCCGTGGTGACAAGTGGCTCTGTGGCCAGTAGGACTCACCCATGATACGGGGTGCAGGAATTCCGGGGGCCCTGAGGGATTTGCTTCCCTCCCCTGGGAAGGCAGAGGGCTCCTAATAAAGAGGACCCAGAAGATTCTCATTTAGAGCTTCAGTCTTTGGAGGACACAAGGCCTTCGTGAGACAGTGAAATCAGACAATAACGAGATCTTTCGTTAAAAAAAAAAAAAGGGAATGGAGTGCGGGAGAGAAATGGTTTGTGTCTCCCTTATTCCCAGTTAAACACCTAGCTGCAGACTGTGTCATCACCCTTCATTCTTCCCAGATGGATGCCATGGGCAATGGAAGCAAAATGCCCTGGACCTTTGCCTGAATGGGGGCAGGGAAGGTGAGGTGTTGCTGGCCTGTAATGCCACCGGATGAGTTCCAGATGTGGAGCAACTTGGGCTTTTGGGGATGGGGCAGCACAGTTGGGAGCTGGACCCCAATTGAGTGGGGGTGGCAATTGGAGTCCTTGTGTCTCTTTCCCACCCCCTGCCAACCTCACTCAGAGGGGCCATGGCACTAGATGGCACTAGTCCCCCGATAATTTATGTCTCATTTAAATAATTTTGTATATCATTCTGGTCATGAAATATTTTTTCATATGTGTAGGTGAAATGGTATGAATAAGCTAACAGGAATAGTATCTAAAAACAGAAAACATCCATATTAAAATGTCTAAACAGGGAGCTCTGGCTTTTGAGTGGGAATTTCCAGAGAACATAAGGGTGTGGGCAGGTGGGGGAACTCAGGCCAGAGTTGGCCTCGCTTTGTGGGGAAACTGGTTTGGAATCAAACGGAGATACCTTCTGTTTCGGGTTTTATTTGGCCAACACTGGGAGATTTCCCATTAAGATCCTATTTTCAGCTCTCTTGAAAGGCCCAGCCTAGGGTGACATTGTCAGCAGGGGTAGGGCAGAAGCTACAACAGGCTGGAGGGGAACAGTGGGTGTCATCCTCAACTGGAGATGAGTCCCACCAGGCCAGTTTTACCCCCTTAGTTACCTGCCCTGCACTTGCAGACAATGGTCAATGCCCCGCATATAATACTTATAGGCCGGGCGCGGTGGCTCAAGCCTGTAATCCCAGCACTTTGGGAGGCCGAGACGGGTGAATCACGAGGTCAGGAGATCGAGACCATCCTGGCTAACACGGTGAAACCCCGTCTCTACTAAAAAATACAAAAAACTAGCCGGGCGAGGTGGCAGGCGCCTGTAGTCCCAGCTACTTGGGAGGCTGAGGCAGGAGAATGGCGGGAAGCCGGGAGGCAGAGATTGCAGTGAGCTGAGATCCGGCCACTGCACTCCAGCCTGGGCGACAGAGCAAGACTCCGTCTCAAAAAAAAAAAAAAAATATATATATATATATATATATACTTATAGACTCTGTTTATGTTGAGGGATGTTTTTAAAGCCCAGGTGAGGTGGATGTGGTAGACTGATCACTGTCTCTCAGTTTTTAGCTAGGCACATGGTAGCTGAAAAGACTACATTTCCCAGATTCCTTTGCAGCTAGATGTAGCCATGTGACTGATTCTGGCTAAATTCCTGGGTAGAACACTCAAGCTTAAGAAAGGGACGGCGGGGCACAGTGGCTTACACCTGTAATCCCAGCACTCTGTGTGGCTGAGGCTGGTGGATCACCTGAGGTCAGGAGTTTGAGACTAGCCTGGCCAACATGGTGAAACCCCATCTCTACTAAAAATACAAAAATTAGTCAGGTGTGGTGGCATACACCTGTAACCCCAGCTACTTGGGAGGCTGAGGCAGGAGAATTGCTTGAATTTGGGAGACAGGCTGCAGTGAGCCAAGATCATGCCACTGCACTTCAGCCTGGGTGACAGAGCGAGACTCTTTTTAAAAAAAAAGAAAAGAAAGGGACATACCTTTTTCCCACCTTCCTAACTGTAATACGGACATAGTATCCAGCCATCTCAGACCATAAGGACAAGAACGACACATGGGATGGCAGAGCAACAAGACAGCAGGAGCCAGGGTCTCTGGTCAATTTCAGGGAGTACAGCCACCATATCAGCCCACTTCCATATTGCTATCTAAGAAAGAAAGTTCTAATTTAAGCCTTCATTATTCTGGGTTTCTGTCACATGCAACAGAATTTACAGCCTAAGACAGGGGTCTGCAAACTATGGCCAACTCTAGCCTGCTGCCTGGTTTTGCAAATAAAATTTTATTTGAACACAGTTTTATATTCATTCACTTATGTATTGTTGGTGACTGCTTTTGCCTAGAACAGCAGATCTGCATAGTTGCATCAGAGATCTTATGGCCTCCAAAACTTAAAATAGTTACCATCTAGCCCTTTGCAGGAGAAGTTTGCCAACCCCTGGTCTAATAAGACATTCAACCTACTCTGAGTCTGGAAGCAGAAATTTCGATCCTAGGAACCACCACCTTTACCAGGTAGGTAGGTAGGGTGTGTGTGTGTGTGTTTTGGGACAGGGCTACCCTGGATCTCTTTGCTGTGGTGACTTATAGGGAGACTGGTTGGAGTTAGTAGACCATCAGTTTTTTTCAAGATACCAACTTCATGAAGAGCCAGATATTTCCTCTGGCTCCTAGTGAACGCTCAGAAGTTTCCAACCCGGATATTTTCACACTACCCCCACAGTGGCTCCCCTAAACCCAAACCTAAGGATCTAATCCCACATGCTCTCCCAAGATAGCAGCCTGCCCAAGTACACTCTGGGCTTCCTGTTCTCTCCAGACGTCACAGATTCTCTAAATAGCATCACTGATGACTTCCACATTTTTATCTGCAGCCCAAACCCCAGACATAAGATATAACCATTTGAATAAACAAATGGAGATCTCAAACTTAAAATAGGTCAACATGACTCCTGTGGCCCGACCTGCACCACTGCCATCATGTTAGTAAAAAACTGTGCACTTTTAAATTCTTTTGAGTCTTGCTCTGTCTCCCAGGCTGGAGTGCAGTGGCGTGATCTCGGCTCACTGAAGCCTCCGCCTCCTGGGTTCAGGCAATTTTCCAGCCCCAGCCTCCCGAGTAGCTGGGATTACAGGTGTGCACCACTATAACTGGCTAATTTTTGTATTTTTAATAGAGACGAGGTTTCACTATGTTGCTCAGGCTGATCTCAGACTCCTGGCCTCCAGTGATCCGCCCACCTGGGCCTCCCAAAGTGCTGGGATTATAGGTGTGAGCCACTGCACCTGGCCTTCATTTTTTTTCTTTTTTTTTTCTTGAGACAGGGTCTCACTGTGTAGCTCAGGATAGAGTGCAGTGGCAAAATCTCGGCTCACTGCAGCCTTGACCTCCTCGGGCTCAGATGATCCTCCCACCTCCGCCTCCCTCCCTATAGCTGGGACTACGGGTGTGCACTACTATGAACAGCTAATTTTTTGTAGAGACGGGGTTTCACCACGTTGTTTAGGCTGGTCTTGAACTCCTGAGCTCAAACAATCCGCCCACCTCGATCTCCCAAAGTGTTAGGATTACAGGCGTGAGCCCCCGTTGTCTGGCTGACTTTCAGCCTTCTAACACCTGTGTAACTATTCCCTGTATTAAATCCTCTTTGGGAAATGCCTGGCCTGATTCCATATCCTGAATGGGTGCTGGCTGAATGACCCAACTCCTGATTTATAGTGTCTCTTGTGATCCTTAGGAATATTTGCCAACGATGGAAATTCTCTGTATCTGTCCTTAGAAATCCTGTTTTACGGCAGAAGACAGGATGGGGTGCTGCTCCAGGAAATAAAACCTATGATCACACTTATCCATGTGCTATGGTTAAATGTATGTGTCCCCCTAATATTCGTATGTTGGGAACCTAAGATCCCATGTGATAGTATTCAGACGTGGGGCCTTTAGGAGATTGCGAAGTCACAAGGGCTCTGCCCTCATGAACAAGGTAAGTGCCCTTATAAAAGGACCCAAGGGAAGTAGCTAGGCCTTCTCCCCTTCCATCTCTCCTACCATCTGAGGACACAGCGTTCGTCCCTTTTTGCCACCTTCCACTGTGTAAGGATGCAGCAAGGCGGCACCAACTTGGAAGCAGAGAGCAACCCTTAATAAGACACCAAATCTGTTGGTTCCGACCTGGAACTTCCTAGTCTCTAGAACTATGAGGAATTAACCTTTGTTCTTTATGAATTACCCAGTCTCAGGTATTACGTTACAGCCGCACAAACGGACTAAGACACTGTTGTTTTAACGAGCCCGGAATTTCTGCTGATGATTGAGGTTCCATGATGCGAAGCTATAGTGGCTAGGAAAGTCAGTTCAGCGTGGATCAATGTCAGGTTTGGAGATTCTGGGATAAGAAATGTGGGTTTTGAAAAATGCTTTGGTCTGAAATCCTGTAATAGGTGTCAAAAATGCAAATGTTGGCCGGACATGGTGGCTCACACCTGTAATCCCAGCACTTTGGGAGGCCAAGGCTGGTGGATCATTTGAGGTCAGGAGTTTGAGACCAGCCTGACCAACATGGTGAAACCCCATCTCTACTAAAAATACAAAAATTAGCCGGGGGTAGTAGTGCCGTGCCTGTGGTCCCAGCTACTCAGGAGGCTGAGGCACGAGAATCGCTTGAACCCAGAATACAGAGGCTGCAGTTAGCCGAGATCACGCCACTACACTCCAGCCTGGGTGACAGAGTGAGACTCCATCACAAAAAAACCAACAACAAAAACCCAACATTTAAAAAAAAAAAAAAAAAGCAGATGCTCTTCAGGGCCAAGCAGGCAGGATTGCGGTGTCCAGATGTGACAGTGGTGACCGGGCACATAAGAGTGAATGCCTCCCCTCCAGAAAGTCACTGCTAGTCAGCACCAACAAACTACTGTCCCCATGGGATTCAGCAATACAGATCTTAGAATTTTCAAGACAGTCCAGAAACTTCAATTTTTTTAATGTGAAGTTACCCATTTTTCAACATTGGTAACCGAAGTAACTTAAAAAAACTCAATAGCTCGGTGGAGACCAGATACACTCCTGGAAGTCGGATGGTGGCTGTGGGTACTAGACTGTCATTTCTAGTGTGTGGCTTGGTGACTAAGAGTGGATGCGCCTGCATCCAGTTGTCTTGGTACAAACCAGGGCTCTGCAGCTTACTGGCTCCGTGACCTCTGGCAGGTAACTCAACCTCTCTGTGCCTCTGTTGTAGCATTTTTGTTTGTTTTTGTTTTGTTGTTGAGTTGGGAGTTTCCAGCCCAGGCTGGAGTGCAGTGGCGTGACCTCAGCTCACCACAGTCTCCGCCTCCTGGGTTCAAGCGATTCTCGTGCCTCAGCCTCCCGAGTAGCTGGGATTACAGGCATGTGCCACCACGCCCGGCTAATTTTGTATTTTTAGTAGAGATGGGGTTTCCCCATGTTGGTCAGGCTGGTCTCAAACTCCTGACCTCAGGTGATCCACCCGCCTCAGCCTCCCAAAGTGCTGGGATTACAGGTGTGACCCACCATGCCTGGTCTCTTTTTTTTTTTTGAGACAGAGTCTTGCTCTGTTGCCCAGGCTGGAGTGCAGTGGTGCGATCTGGGCTCACTGCAACCTCCGCCTCCCAGGTACAAGCGATTCTCCTGCCTCAGTCTCCCAAGTAGCTGGGACAACAGGCACACGCCACCACGCCCAGCTAAGTTTTTGTATTTTTAGTAGAGATGGGGTTTCACCTTGTTGGCCAGGTTGGTCTCGAACTCCAACCTCAGGCAATCCACCCGCCTTGGCCTCCCAAGGTGCTGAGATTACAGGCGTGAGCAACCATGCCTGGCCTGTTGTAGCAGTTATAAAATGGTCATAAAAGTAGCCTCTAAAGATTATTATAAGCACTGAGATTACTATGAGGACTCAAGACTCAGAGAGAATGCCAAAGTCAGTATATGTTCCCTACGGCCTAGTTCTCGGCTACTTTCTGACCTCACCTCCTGTCTTCCTCAGTTCCAGCCTCGTGGCCCTGTGTCTTCTTCCCAAGCACCCCAAGTGGGCTCCCACCTCAGGCCATTGCACTTACTGTCCCCAGACAGCCACAAGGCTCACTCCTGCCCCTTCTCTAGGTCTCTGCTCTGATGCCACCTCAGTGAAGCCTTCCCTGACCATCCTACTTAAAACTGTAACCTTCACACACACAAGCTTCCCACCCTGTTCTTTTCTCCATAGCACTTATGACTAACATTCCATGCAATTTATATATTTTACTTAAACACTTGATTACTGTCTTCCCCATTATAACCTCCACGAAGGGAGGGTTTTTTGTTTGTTTGTTTTTTTTTTGAGACGGAGTCTCGCTCTGTCGCCCAGGCTGGAGTGCAGTGGCGCAATCTCGGCTCACTGCAACCTCTGCCTCCTGGGTTCACGCCATTCTCCTGCCTCAGCCTCCTGAGTAGCTGGGACTATAGGCGCTAGCCACTACGCTGGGCTAATTTTGTGTATTCTTTAGTAGAGACGGGGTTTTACTGTGTTAGCCAGGATGGTCTCAATCTCCTGACCTCGTAATCTGCCCGCCTCGGCCTCCCAAAGTGCTGAGATTACAGGAGTGAGCCACGGCGCCCAGCCGGGAGGGGGTTTTTCTTCATCGTGTTCACTGCTATATTTCCAACTCCCAGAGCAGTGCCTGCCATCTCATAGGTGCTCAATAAATCATTGTTGGGTGAATGAGTAAATAAATAACAGTCCCTACCTTGTAAGCATCTGATGTGATTTTCCACATAAAGCACTGAGTCCAGGGCCTGGTCCACTATAAGCGCTGACTTAATGATGGCCATTACAGTAATTCAGGTTCTATTCTTGAAGGTTCTTAGTTTCCAACCTTCTATGAGTTAACACATGTAAAGCGCCTTAGAACAGGGCTGGTTGCCCAGTAAATTCTCCGTTAATGATAGCTATTATTATAATTAGGCTTCTATTTTCAAAGTAGCTTCGGTGCCAAGCTTCTGTGAATTATGAATTATACTTCCCATCTCAGAGCCCAAGCCCAAGTTTTGGCAAGGCTGTAAAGAGCTGATCCTCTGCTACCCTTGGATTCATCCCTACAGCTCTGGCCTCCTTGGCACACCAGGCAGGCTCCTCTGGCCTGGAGTGTTCTTCCACATTGATGTACATAGCTCCCCCCGGCTTCAGATCTGTCGCCTTCTCAGGGAAGACTACACTCTTTAAAACTGCAGCCTCCTTCCAGAACAGTTCTCCCTTCAGTCCTTTTTAAATGTTGGGACAAATTCTTGCCATCATCCAGGCTAGAGTGCAGTGAGCAGTGGCATAATCACAGGTTGCTGCAGCCTCAACCTCCAAGGCTCAAGCGATCCTCCCACCTCAGCTTTCTGAATAGCTAGCTGGGACTATAGGCATGCACCACCATGCCCTGCTAATTTAATTTTTTGTAGGTAGGGTCCCACTGTGTTGCCCAGGCTGGTCTTCAACTCCTGGCCTCAAGAATCTTCCCACCTCAGCCTCCCAAAGTGCTAGAATTATAGGCGTGACCCACTGGCCTCCCTTCAGTTTTTTTTTTTTTTTTTTTTGGAGACAAGGTCTCACTGTTGCCCAGGCTGGAGTGCAGTGACATGATCACCACTCACTGTAGCCTTGACTTCTCAGGCTCCAGCAATCCTCCCATCTAAGCCTCCCTAGTAGCTGGGACTATAGCCGTGCACCATTGTTAGCCCAGATAATTTTCTGTATTTTGTAGAGATGGGGTTTTGGCATGCTGCCCAGACTGGTCTCGAACTCCTGCGCTCAAGTGATCCGCCCACCTCAGTGCTGGGATTTCAGGAGTGAGCCACCATGCTGGGCCTCCTTTCAGTGATTTATTGTTCTCACGGCATTTGTCAGCACCCAGCATATGCTGTATCTCACTTGTTTATGTCTGTCTTCACCAGCAGCCTCTACCCACTCCCATGTAAGCTCCATGAGGACAACGATTTTATTTTATTCACTGGTGTGTTCCCAATGCTTAGCACATAGCAGGTACTCAAAAATATTTGTTAAATGAATTAATGGATCACAATCCCTATCTCACAGGGTTATTCTAAGAAGCCGATAATCTCATGCAAATTAAGTGCAGCACTCTGTAAGTGCTCGGAAAATGGCAGCTGTAATTATCATTAAGGTTCTATTTTTGTAAGTTCCTAGATGCACCATTTCTATGAGTCAATATATATAAAGCCCTTGGACTGGCACCAGACACCCAGGAAGCGCTGAGGAAGCGTAGCTGTGATTATAATTAAAGTCCTCTTTGTGGAAGTTCCTAGGCGATGTGGCAGAAAGCCCTAGCTGTCCTCCACGAACCGTTTTCTGCTTTCTGGGCGCTTGGCTAGACTGCTTCTCCCAGGTTGTTTTTGCAGTTAGCTGTGGCCACGTATCTAATTTCTCAGCAAAGGTGTGTCAATGGAACCAGTGTGTGCCCCTGGCAGGCCAGGGCTTAGAAGACAACACGTGCACCTCACCAGGTTCCCTGTCCTCTTCTGTCAGCAGGACCCAGGCCATGGCCACCCAGTCTGGACCATGGGGGAGACAACAGGCTTAAGGGATGGCCTGGGTCCCCAAATGACTCACCCAGCACTATTTTGTGAGTGAGAAATGAAATTCTATTGTTAGAGCCTATGGAAATATCATCAAATACAAGCACACAGTAAATGTTAGTTATCTTTCCCAAAAGACCCCGAGGTTCCCCAAGAAGGAGCACAGGGGAAATACACACACACACACACACACACACACTCTCACTCTCTCTCTCTCTCTCTCTCTCTCTCTGTCTGAACCAACACACACAAATACAGATTTTGGCTTTTATTCTGGCCATCACACATCTACTTCTAAGACAACACAGACCGGCAGTATCCCATCCCCCATGACCACTGTCACAACCCGAATTTCCTCAGGCCCCTCCTCCCACCCCACCCCTTCTGTCAAGCTCCCTGTGTGGGGGCTCTGCCTACACCTCACCCCGGGCATGCAGCATGAAGTGCCCGTGCAGCTCCCCCAGGTTGTCGAAGGAATCCTCGCATTCCGTACAGTGGTAGGTTCCCTCCTCCTCCTCTTCCTCCTCCTCCTCCCGCCCAGCTGGTCGGCCCTCCCCAGCCCGAGGTGGTTCCTCCTCTTCCTCCCCGAGTGCCCTGCCTTCAGGGGCTGGTGCTTCCTGGGGGGCTGTAGCAGGGCAGCAGAGCCGGCAGGGTGGGGTTCCCGGTGGGGCCTCCCCAAGGGGTGAGCGGCCACAGAGCTGGCAAGGCTGAGCCGGGGGGCCCGGGGGCTGGGCTGCACGGGGGGCCCGGCGGGATGGGCCACCACGGCCCCCGCCAAGGCGCTGCTTCACCTTGTAGCCAGGATCATATTCGGGATCGTCAGTGGTCTCCTCTTCCTCCTCCTCCTCATCTTCTTCCTCTTCGGAGTCCGGCTCTGAGAGAGTGTATTCTGAATCAGAGGAATGCTCAGGGCCTGGAGGGGGAAAGACAGGGGGAGACAGTGGCATCAGAGGAAAGAGGGCTAGGCCCAGCTGTCCCCTCCCTGAACCTCACATTCAGACTTGCCATAGTATGACCAGGGTAGCCTGGGCACTACCCTTCTCTTCCCCACAGATGAGTCCCCATGGCATAGAACAAGGCTGGCACCCGGTAGATTCCCTGTATCTTTGTGTCAAGCAAATGAATGTCTTCTAAGAACTGCATGGGACAGGACTGGGCATGGTGGCTCATGCCTGTAATCCCAGCACTTTTGGGTGGCCAAGATGGGAAGATCACTTGAGCCCAGAAGTTTGAGACCAGCCTGGGCAATATAGCAAGACTCCGTCTCTATAAAAAATTTAAAAATTAGCCAGGCCTGGTGACACATTGCCTGTAGTACCAGTTTCTCAGGAGGCTGAGGCGGGAGGATCACTTGAGCCGAGGAGTTTGAGGCTGCATTTGAGCCATGACTGCGCCACTCCCTTCCAGCCTGGGTGACAGAGTGAGACCTCACCTCTTAAAAATAATTTTTTTGGCCGGGCATGGTGGATTATGCCTGTAATCCCAGCACTTTGGGAGGCCAAGGAGGGCAGATCATGAGGTTAGGAGTTCAAGACCAGCCTGGCCAACATGGTGAAACCTTGTCTCTACTAAATATACAAAAATTAGCTGGGTGTGGTGTCGGGTGCCTGTAATCCCAGCTACTCGGGAGGCTGAGGCAGGAGAATTGCTTCAACCCAGGAGGCGGAGTTTGCAGTGAGCTGAGATTGCACCACTGCACTCCAGCCTGGATGACAGAGCAAGACTCTGTCTTGGGGAAAAAAAAAAACCTCCATGGGGAGGTGGGTAGGAGGCGTTTAGGAAGGACAAAGCAGGAGTAGTAAAAAACCACCAGTAACAATAGCATCCTTGCTATTGTAGAAGCCCTGTTCCTATACATTAACTCACTAAATCCCCAACAACCCTTTGAGGGCGATACTGTTACTATCCCCAGTTGATGGATGTGGAAACTGAGGCACAGGGAGGCTAGACGACTTACTCCCCTGTGGTTACACAGCTCTGGCAGGAAAAGCTGAACCTGGGCCATGGCCGACACTGGATCATTTTAGGGAGACAACCATTTGAAAAGGTATTTGTGCAAATTAAAACACATACATACACACAGATGTACTTTTATATCTGTGGCCATGGAGATATATATATATATAGGTGAATTAAAATATTTATTTATAGGTGAGATATTACTGTGATTTCACAGTTATCAAGGACATGCCTAGGACAAGTTTAGGTTTAAAGAAAAGGGCCTGTAATCCTAGCACTTTGGGAGGCTGAGGTGGGCGGACTGCCTGAACTCAGGAGTTCATGACCCACCCTGGGCAACATCATGAAACCCAATTTATTTCTTGTATTTTTTGTATTTTTAGTAGAGACTAAAAAATTAGCCAGGTATAGGGTGGTGGGTGCCTACAGTCCCAGCTACTCAGGAAGCTGAGGCAGGAGAACTGCTTGAACCCAGGAGGCAAAGGTTACGATGAGCCAGTATCAAGACACTGCACTCCAGCCTGGGTGAGAGAGCGAGACTCCGTTTCCAAAGAAAAAGAAAAGGGGAAAAATTTTAAAGTTGATATATGGAAAAGGGCGACATCAGCTGCCATTATGGTGGCGCACAGAGTAATGGCTGGGGATGGGGTCCCCATGACCACAGTGTGGGAAGTACCAGCTTTTTTGGCCTCAGTGGCAGGAGCCTGCCAAAAGCCTCACCTTGTATCCATCCCGGCCCCATTCCTCAGTTTCTCCCAGAACCCAGAGGATCCTGCTACTGCACCCTGTGCTCCGCCCTTGCTCCTGTCATCACAGTGGCCACAAGGCTCTTCATACCAGGCTCCTCACCTTCCCTGACACCCCAGGCCCGTACCTGCCTCAGGGTCTTTGCCATCCTTTCTGCCGATGTCACTCTCCATTCCATGTCTCTTCTCAAGTGTCACCTTCTCAGTGACACCCTGGCCACTCCCTAGCACTCCCTATGCCCCTTACTCTGCTTGATTTTTCTCCATCCTCTTTTGAGATGGAGTCTCGCTCTGTCATCCAGGCTGGAGTGCAGTGGTGTGATCTCAGCTCATTGGAAACTCCACCTCCTGGGTTCAGGCAATTCTTCTGCCTCAGCCTCTCAAGTAACTGGGATTACAGGCGCGCACCATCAGGCCCAGGTAATTTTTGTATTTTTAGTAGAGACGGGGTTTCACCTTCTTGGCCAGGCTGGTCTCAAACTCCTGACCTCAGGTGATCCACCGATCTCAGCCTCCCAAAGTGCTGGGATTACAGGTATCAGCCACTGCGCCGGGCTCATTTTTCTCCATCTTCTGACTCACCGCATACAACATTTGCTTGTGTGCTTGTTTATTGCCTGTCCCCGAGAGCAGGGATTTTGTCTGGTTCACTGCTGTGGCCCTAGCATCTAGAACACTTCCTTTGTACAAAGAAAGTACTTACGACATATTTATGGCATGGATATCTCTGCATGGAATTTGAAAAGCCTGTTCTGAGGCTTCACACACACTGTTCCTCCCTCTGGTGGGAATGTCCTGCCCTAGTTTTTCCCACCATCCTTCAGGACCCAGTGGGAGGCCTTCCTCTTTGGTGAGGCCGTCCCAGACCTCCTCATCCCAGGCAGCCAGTCATTTTTTCTACCACCCTCCTGCTGGGTTCCCAGCATCACCAGCCCAGAACGGGTTATAACTGTTTTCTTCTGAACATCCGCCCCTGCAGCTCTCTCCTACTGGTTCCCGCCATTTAACAATCGTTTCCTGGCCGGGCATGGTGGCTCACGCCTGGAATCCCAGCACTTTGGGAGGCCGAGGCGGGTGGCTCACGAGGTCAGGAGAACGAGACTATCCTGGTTAACACCGTGAGACCCCGTCTCTACTAAAAATAGAAAAAAATTAGCTGGGCATGGTGTCAGGCGCCTGTAATTCCAGCTACTAGAGAGGCTGAGGCAGGAGAATGGCGTGAACCTGGGAGGCGGAGCTTGCAGTGAGCCGAGATCGTGACACTGCACTCTAGCCTGGGCGACAGAGCGAGACTCTGTTTCAAAAAAAAAAAAAAAAAAAATTGTTTCCTGAGGCCTTGGCATGGGCTATTCCCCACTCTGTCCACCTGGTGACCCCCTAACTCATCCTTCAAGACCCAGCACAAACTCCGTCCTCTGTGAAGCCACCATCCTGATGCCCCAGGCTCCTGGCCAGGTCTCTCTCCGATGCCCCAGCACCACCTCCTGTTACTGTCCTAGAAGCTGACTGCAGTCAGCTGCCCCCCAGGGTATCTCTTTTATCGGACTGGGAAATCTTCAAGGGCAGGTATGATCTTGGGGTCCCCAGCAGAGGACATGTGGGTCAATGGATGATAGTGGCCCCAAGACCCTGATCTCCCTCCCCAAAGCCTTAGACTCTGCTCCCTGCCCACCTGGGTGACCCGTTCTTTTTTTTTTTTTTTTTGAGAGAGTCTCACTGTCACCCAGGCTGGCATGCAGTGGTGTGATCTTGGCTCGCTGCAACCTCCGCCTCCAAGGTTCAAGCGATCCTCCCACCTCAGCCCCTGAAGTAGCTGGGATTACAAGCGTGTGTCACCACACCTGGCTAATTTTTATATTTTTGGTAGAGATGGGGTTTCACCATGTTGGTTAGGCTGGTCTTGAACTCCTGACCTCAGGTGATCTGCCTGCCTCGGCCTCCCAAAGTGCTGGGATTACAGGTGTGAGCCACCGCGTCCAGCCTGCCTGACCCTTTCCTTCTCTACTGGCAAAACTCCTGCTCCTTTTTAAAGCCAAGCTCATGTCACCTCCTCTGTGAAGTCCTTGCTGACTCCCCAGGCAGTCAGTGTCTCTCTCGTATGGGCTCCCCAGCCCCTGCTCCGCTCTCCATCACACCCTGACCACTCTGGGCAGTGACCCCCTCCCCACCCACTGACTATGGGCTCCTCAAAGGCAGGACCTGGGTCTGCCCCATCTCTCTGTCCCCAGCAATGCTGGGCATGAGTCAGCCTCAGAAGACATCTGCTAAATGGCTGCAAACCAGAGGAAATATCTCCAGCCTCAGGCTGGGACACCTGCCCTCTCCTCCCACCTGACTTCATACCACTCACCCTGCAGAGTCTTCAATGCCCACTGTGACTTCACACAGTTGGCCTGTGACAGGCAATCAGGTCATCGTCCACGGCTACCAGGTGTTTCATGTCTACTGTGACTTCCAGGACCACAAGCCCTTTTGCGCCCACCATGTCTTCACCTAAGAGATCTTCAAAGCCCAGTATGTCCCCGGCACCCAGTGGATCCTCCATGCCCACTGCGGATCCCAAGCCTCCTGCCTCCTTGAAGTCCACCAAATCAGCAACGCCCAACAGATCTTTAGTGCCCACCAAGCCAGCGACATCCCCCAACTTGGTCGTGAGCCCAAGCAGTTCCAAGTCCACCAAATCGACCAGTACAAAAAGGGCCCCTTCTAACCTGCCCAGCAGCAGGTCCCGAGTCCGCAGCAAGGCAAGAACACCCAGCAGGGTGAGCACCGACACCAGGACCAGCAAAGCCAGCAAAGCCAGCAAGGCCAGCGGAGTGAGATGCCACCAGCGGAGGGGCACACACAGCCGGGGTAGGACACCTGGCAGAAGGGGAAGCCGCAGCTCCAAGAGGTCACCCAGCAGGGCTAGCACTCCTGGCAGGATAAGAACTCATGGTGCCAGACCAGGCATGGCCAGCAGGGTGAGAACTCCCACTTCACAGCAAAAACGGAGCCGGGGAAAGAGTTACGGCCGGCCTAGAACCAGCAACAGGGAAAGAAGTGACAGCCAGCCTAGAAATATGAGCAAGAAGAGTTACCGCCCACCAGGAGGCTCAGGTATGGGGAGGAGTTCCGAGCTGGCTGTAACTCCCAGTAGAGCCAAGTGTCAAACCCTGACTGGAATTCCCTCCAAGGAGAAGAGTGACAGCCCATCTCCATCGTCATCAAGGAAGGTGAAGAGCTACGGTCAGATGATCATCCCCAGTAGGGAAAAGAGTTACAGCCCCACTGAAACGTCCAGCAGGGTCAAGAGTTATAACCAGGCCAGTACCCACAGCAGGCCGCAAAGTCACAGTCAATCTAGAAGCCCCAGAAGGTCAAGAAGTGGCAGTCAGAAGAGGACACACAGCAGGACGAGAAGACACAGTTGGAAGAGAAACCACAGCAGGGCAAGAAGTCGCACCCGGAAGGGAATTCTGAGCCAGACGGGAAGACATAGCCAGTCTAGAACCCACAGCAAGGGGAAAAGTCAAAACCAACCTAGAACCCCCAGAAGAGGAAGAAGTCACAACTGGTCTAGAAACCCCAGCAAGAAAAGAAGTCATAGCCATTCTAGAAGCTTCAGCAAAGACAGAGATCGCAGAGGATCTAGCAGCCCCAGGAAGGAGAACGGTCACAGTCAATCTGGAAGCCCCAACAAGCAAAGAGATCGCAGCCCATCTAGAAGTCCCAAGGAGAGAGATCGCAGCCGATCTAGAAGTCCCAACAAGGCGAGAGATCATAGCCGATCCAGAAGCCCCAGCAAGGAGAGAGATCACAGCCGACCTGGAAGCCCCAGCAAAGAGAGAGATCGCAGCCGATCTAGAAGCCCCAGCAAGGAGAGAGAGCGCAGACAATCTAGAAGCCCCAGCAAGAGAGATCACCAGAGCGATCTCGGCGGCCCCAGCAAGGAGAAACATCACAACCGACTTGGAAGCCTCAACAAGGAGAGATACAGCCAATCTAGAAGCCCCCTTCAGAGAAGAGCACACACACAATCCGAAGCCCCAGCAAAGAGAGATCACAGACGATGGAGAAGCCCCAGCAAGGAGAGAAACACAGAACAATCTAGAAGCCCCATGAGGAAAGAAGAAACACAGACAATCCAGAAGCCCCAGCAAAGAGAGATCACAGACAATGGAGAAGCCCCAGCAAGAGAGTGCAGACAATCTAGAAGCCCCAGCGGGGAAGAAAGAACACAGACAATCCAGAAGCCCCCAGCAAAGAGAAGATCACAGACAATGGAAAGCCCCAGCAAGAGAAGCGCAGACAATCTAGAAGCCCCAGCGAAGAGCGCAGACAATCTAGAAGCCCCAGCGAGGAGAGAGATCACAGCCGATCTAGAAGCCCCAGTAGGCAGAGTGGTTACAGACAACCTAGAGCCTCCAGCAAGGAGAAAGCTCACAGCCGATCTAGAACCCCCAGCAAGGAAGGAAATCATAGCCAATCTAGAACCTCCAGCATGGAGAGAGACCTCAGTCAATCTACAGTCCCCAGAATTCCCGACTGGAAGAGATCCCCTACCAGGACAAGGAGTCTCAGTCAGAATAGAACCCCTAGCAAGACAAGCAGCCACTCCCCATCAACATTTCCCAGTGGAGGCCAAACCCTAAGCCAGGATGACAGTCAAGCCAACGCCACCACCTCTAAGGCCACCTTACCTGGGGAAAGGTCTTCATCGTCTTCTTCCAAGCTGGCATAGCCCCCAGTCTCAGCTGGCTCACGGGTCTCTGTCATGGCCGGGAGAGGGGACAGGAGACAGGAGCAGAGCAGCAGCTGAGCAGCGTCCCTCCCCGGCCAGCTCTCCACAGCCACACCTCGGCCACAAGTTCTCTAATACAGGATGTTGGCAGGTAGAGAGGGATGCTGGATAGGGGGAAAAGAAAGGCCTGTGATGATTCAATAAATTTTTACATAGCACCCATCCCCACCCTAAGCCCAACTGTGTGCTCATTGCTGGGGTGGGGCACAGAGGACCCCAGCTCCGTCCCTGACTGTCTACAGGGAATTGACTACAAGCCCTGCCCCTCTCTAGGTCTTTTTTTTCTTTTAGGCAGAGTCTCGCTCTGTTGCCCAGGCTGGAGTGTAGTGGCGTGATCTCAGCTCACTACAACCTCCACCTCCCAGGCTCAAGCAATTCTCCTACCTCAGCTTCCCAAGTAGCTGCAACTACAGGCGTGTGTCCTCACACCCGGCTAATTTTGTATTTCTAGTAGAGATGGGGTTTCACCATGTTGGCCAGGCTGGGCTTGAACTCCTGACCTCAGGTGATCCACACACCTCAACCTCGCAAAGTGCTGGGATTACAGGCGTGAGCCACAGCACCTGGCCCCCTCTCTAGGTCTTAATTTCCCCATGTGGGCAACAAGGCTGCCTTCTGGTTCTTATTCAGTGGGACAGGGAGAGGTGACACTCCAAATATTCAACAGTGGAGACTGGTGTGGGCACCAATCAGAACTGAGAGTGGAGCAGGGACGGATGCCAGGCATTAACCCCTTAGTTGCTGCACCATGGGGAGGTCTGGGGTTGAAAAAAACCCTCAAACTATGTTTTTCCTCTACTCTCACACTACCACCATAACAATCATCAACACAGAATTCTGTGACCAAATGTGTGGGGCTTTTTCCCCACACACTGCACAGCAGACACAGGGTAGGTGTCCCCTCCAATTCCATTCCAACGCTATCCCCACGCCCAGCTAATTTTTGTATTTTTGGTAGAAACAGGGTTTCACCATGGTGCCCAGAGCTCAAGCAATCCGCCCGCTTCAGCCCTCCAAAGTGCTGGGATTATAGGCGTGAGCCACCACACCCGACTTTTTTTAAAAAATAAGGCCGGGGGCGGTAACCCACGCCTGTAATCCCAGCACTTTGGGAGGCCGAGGCAGGCAGATCACCTGAGCTCAAGAGTTTGAGACCAGCCTGGGCAACATGGCAAACCTTGTCTCTACAAAAAAAAAAAAAAGAAAGAAAAAGCTTACAAAAGTTAGCCGGAGTGGTGGCATATGCTTACAGTCCCAGTTACCTGAGAGGCTGAGGCAGGAGGATCACTTGAGCCTGGAAGGTCAAGGCTGCAGTGAGCCGTGACCTTGCCACTGCACTTAAGCCTGGATAACCCCTCTTACAAAAAAAAAAAAAAATTGCTGGAGCTGCTCACAGAACTCAAGGAAATGCTTATTTAGATTTTCTGGTTTATTATTGCAAAGAAGAAAGATGAAGAGATGTGTAGGGCAAGGTATAAGGGAAGAGGCAGGGAGCTTCACGCCCTCCCTGGGGTGCCACCCTACAGGAACCCTCATGTGATCAGCTATGCGGAAGCTCTCCAAACCCAGTCCTCTTGGGTTTTTAGAGGCTTTAAGACAGCAGCATTAGGCATGGAATTCTCTGAAAATGTCTTAAGACCAACAATCAGGAAGGTGGGGAAGATTAGAGTTTTGCCCTGGGGCAGGAAATGGAGGGAAGGGGGAGGTCGGAGAGATTGTGTCTTGAGACCTGCCCCAGGCCTAAGGTACATAACATTATAACAAGAGACCACAAACAAAGGCTATAGGAGTTAGCAGCCAGGAACTGTGGATAAAAACCGATATATTTATACATATAATACCACAGGGAGGGTCCAAAGTGGCAGTTAGGGACAGCGAGTACTTGTGTAGCAGTGACACACCAACCCATCTGAAAGTATTTTTAATATTTAAACAATTGGTATGGCTGTACTAGTTTGTGACTATCAGCCTTAGTTCTGTATCCATTGGCAAGATAGTGTCTAGGTTTGCCACGCTCTAGCTGTGTAGCACCAAGCGAAGAACTTAACTTCTCCAGCCTGTTTCCTTCTCTGTAAGAAAGGGGCTTCCAGGCCTTAACTCACGTACTCCCCATAACTAGGTTGGAATTACCTCCTTTGTACAGATGAGAAAACAGACACAGAGGTGGTAAGTGAATAGCCCAAGGTCACCATCTGGTAAGTGGATGAACTAGGATTAGAAGCCACCCCTTTCATAAAATGATTTCTCAGCTCAAAAGGTTTTTCTGAAGATTCAGTAGGCTCACTGATAGAAATTGCTGGTGTGTGGCTGGTATTCCATCAAGAGTGGCCATTACTACTCCCATCCCCACCCACCTGTAAACTCCAGACATTCCCGACCTCTCACCTCTTCCTGTGCACACAAGGCCTTTTCCCGTCTGTGCGTCTTAGTACACCCACTGTTGCTGTCAAGAAAGTCCTCCTCCTCCTTTTTTTTTTGAGATGGAGTCTCACTTTGTTGCCCAGGCTGGAGTACAGTAGCGCGATCTTGGCTCACTGCAACCTCCACCCTGCCTCAGCCTCCCTAGTAGCTGGGATTACAGGCAGCCACCACCACCATGCCCGGCTAATTTTTTTTTTTTTTTGAGGTGGACTCTCACTCTGTGGCCCAGGCTGGAGTGCAGTGGTGCAAGCTCCACCTCCTGGCTTCAGGCCATTCTGCTGCCTCAGCCTTCTGAGTAGCTGCGACTACAGGCGCCCGCCACCACACCCGGCTATTTTTTGTATTTTTAGTATAGGCGGGGTTTCACCGCGTTAGCCAGGATGGTCTCGATCTTCTGACCTCATGATCCGCCCGCCTCAGCCTCCCAAAGTGCTGGGATTACAGGCGTGAGCCACCGTGCCCAGCCTACTTATTTATATTTTTTAAGAGACGGGGTCTCACTCAGTTGCCCAGGCTGGAGTGCAGTAGGGTGATCTGTAGGAAAGGGGCTTCCAGGTCTTAACTCATGTACTCCCCATAACCAGGTTGGAAGGTTAGCTCACTGAAACCTCAAACTCCTATGCTCATGGTACCCTACTCGCCCCTAGCAGAGTAGCTGGGACTACACGTGTGCGCCACCACGCCAGGCTTAATTTTTACTTTTGTAGAGACAGGGGTCTCGCTATGTTGCCCAGGCTGGTCTTGAACTCCTGGTCTCAAGTGATCCTCCTGCCTCAGCCTCCCAAAGTGTTGGTATCACAGGCATAAGCCACTGCAACTGGCCCAAACAGTTACTTAATATAGCTATGTTCCATGTGATATTTGAAACATACTTTTCTAAAAGGTTTTATCTTTTGGATATAATTGTTTATCTGAAATTCAAATTTAACTAGACGTCGTATATTTTATATGGCAACCATACACCTGGGGCAATCAAGACGTCCCATGAAGTTACCAGGAGACAATGCCTATCAGCCTACACTTTTCCAAGCCCACATCACACAAGGACCCTTCCTGAGTATTCCAGACGTCAGGTAGGGCCATCCCTTGGTTCACAAGCCCACTCCTACCACGCCTATGGCAGCCAAACTGAAAGGCAAATACAGTGCTGGAGACCCCACAATGCCCTGGGCCTGTAGCAGCCAATTCCCAAGATGCCCCGCGTGAACACAATAGGCACCCGTTCCAATGCTCGAGCAATGAGACGAGGGCAAAACCTTCCACTACGGGACAATAAGGGCCAGTTCCCACAATTCCTTGTGGCAGTTCTTCCCAGGGTGCCTTGGGCCTATAGCGACCGCCTTCCCGGACTCCCTGTGTGGAAACGCTCCAAGCCTCCAGGACGGTCAGCGGCAGGTGTGGGATAAAAGGAACCGGTCTCGACGAGGATCTGGGACACTCTTTCCCAGGATGCACCAGGCCTACAACGACTAGCGGACCGACTCCCACACCGCTTCAAGGCGGAGCGCTCGGTTCTCCCAGGATGCCCCAGGGTGGCACAGCCGCGTAGGGGGAGAAAAGGAAGCCCTCGGGTCACCACGGCCCCAGACCGCCGGCTCCCCGGCGACGGGAGTCGTCGTTCCCATCATGCAGCGGGGCCGTAGCGCCCGCTTCCCGGCATGCCCCGCGCACCCCTGCCCGGGACACTCACCGGCGCCGGCGGCCCCCGCTCCGGCTCTGCTGCGGCGGCTGCACGCCCAGCCTCTGCGCCTGCGTCGCAAGTAGGGTAGGAGAGCGCGCAGGGGGCGTGAAGAGCCTAGGGCGCTTGCGCGGCGAGACGGACTAGTCCTGTAGCTCTATGTGAAGAGGGGCTATGAGCGTCGGGCCGTCGACGAGACCCGCGCGGGGGGCGCCGTGCTTTGCCCCTCGCTGCCTGGGTTTACTTGGTACAGTCCGCGGCCCGAAGGAACAACAAGCTGAAGGGTTCGCGCGTGCGTGTGCGGGGCAGGAACGCTACTTATAAAAATGGGATGCGCTGGGGGTGGAGGGCGCTAGTTCGGACTGGATCCTGGGCCCGAGGCCTGCTTATTTGCATAATCCTAGCGCGGGACAATGAAAGGCCTCCAGAACTGGAAGGAGTGATTTGCATATTCCCCGAGGAGGCCTTACTCCTGAGCGCAGTGATTAGCATATGGCGGGGCAACCTGAGCAAAGCGCATGCGCGCAGGGACTGCAGACTCACGCGAAGTGGGTAACCTTGTTTTCGTTGGGCATCAGTTTGCATCCTGAGAGGGGGCACGAGGGTCAGGACCCCTCCCAACCAGGATAAATGTTTATTGATCTCCTAGGTGTCAGACCTTATGCTGGCAGATTCTATGGTTTCTACAGTGAACCATACTCCTGTACTCACGGCGCCCCAGTCGAAGGAGATACACACCAAATTAGACAACTACTACCCAGAAGGTCAGACCTGGAGGAACACAGGGGGCTGTGGGAGCCTAAGAGGCGCCTGCCCCGGCCTATGGTTCTAGAAAGGCTTCCAGGAGGTGGTGATCCTTAAGCCAAGTACGAATAGGAGCCAGCTAGAATGGGAATGGATCTGGCAGTGAACAGCAAGCGCCAAGGCACAGAGGCAAAAAAAAAAAAAAAAAGCGCATGGTTTGATTGAGGAAGGAAGAGCTGCTTAGTATGCCTAGAACCGAACTGGAGAGGGGAAATGGTCTTATAGGCCATGTTACAGTTGAACTATGACTACATTCCAGCCTTCCTGGAAGTGTCACATTCCGGCTTAAACTCCCCAAAGGAATCCCATTAGGAAAAAAAATCCAAAAATCTTTATCATGGTCTCAGGGCTATACAGCTGGTCTGGCCCTGCTTATCTTTCTGACCCCACCTACTTACTCCTCCCTCCACTCCTGTCCAGCTCCACCTTATGCCAAACTCTCTTTGCCATCTCGGGCCTTTGCTCTTGCCGTTCCCTCCGCCTGAAAATGCTTTTCCCTCTGACCTTTGAATACCTGCTCTTGTGCTCACCATTCATATCTTGGTACAGATGTCAATTTGAGAGGCTTTTCCTGATCTCTCCATAATAGCGCTTACACATATGACTGGAGTTACAGATAAATTGGGATTGGCCATGAGTCCGTGGTGGTTGTAACTGGCATGAAGAGTACATGGGGCTGGGCGCGGTGGCTCATGCCCGTAATCCCAACACTTTGGGAGGCCGAGGCGGGTGGATCACCTGAGGTCAGGAGCTTAAGACCAGTCTGGGCAACATGGTGAAACCTGCCTCCATTAAAAGTACAAAAATTAGCCAGAGGTGATGGGGGGTTGCCTGTAATCCCTGCTACTTGGGAGGCTGATGCATGAGGATCACTTGAACCCTGGAAGAGTCGAGATTGAGCCACTGCACTCCAGCCTGGGCCACCCAGCGAGACTCATCTCAAAAAAAAAAAAAAGTCTGGGCGCGGTGGCTCACGCCTGTAATCCCAGCACTTTGGGAGGCTGGGGCGGGCAGATCACGAGGTCAGGAGATTGAGACCATCCTGGCTAACAAGGTGAAAACCCATCTCTATTAAAAATACAAAAAAAAAAAAATAGCCGGGTATGGTGGTGGCAGGCGCCTGTCGTCCCAGCTATTTGGGAAGCTGAGGCAGGAGAATGGCGTGAACACGGGAGGCAGAGCTTGCAGTGAACCGAGATCTCGCCACTGCACTCCAGCCTGGGCGACAGAGTGAGACTTCATCTCACACACAAAAAAAAAAGTACATGGGACTTTATTGCCCCATCTACTCCTGTGGGTTTGAAGTTTTCCATAATGACAATGGCATACCACATTACCATACTCTGCATGTATATTAATAGTTCCTATCAAAATCTGAACTTTCTTTGCTTCCTTGTTTTAAGTGTTTTCCTCATGAAAGCTTCATGAGGGTAAGAATGGAGTCGCCCTTTTCCACTTTGGGTTCTCAGTGCTTAGAGCAGGATCAGATTTCAGATTAGTGCAGAGCTGTCTTTAACACCTAACATTTGCCTGTTTTATTCACCATGGACTCTAGAACTTTGAGCAGCACCTGGCACGTCGTAAAAGGTTATTTTTTAAAGTTAGAATAATACATCTAAAAGGTACATGAATGAATGAGAGGCCTGGGATGCCAGACTAAAGAGCTTTGACTTGGTCTAGAGGTGATAGGGAGCTAGGCAAAGGTTTTGAGAGCTTAACTTTAATTCAGAGTTCCCTTGGAGACTAATGTCTGGGGTATGGGGAAGCCAGGGTAAGGGTCCAGGCCATGGAATGGGGTAGCTCAGTCGTTATCAAAAAGACAAGACTCCATGACTATTTGGCTGAAGAAGTGGCCAAACCCAGGTTTCTTGGGAGGTCGAGATACCCTCAATGAGGTCAGGACCTTCTCCTGGCCTATACTGTCCACCAGCAACCATCACACTCCCCCCTCCCCTCTCCCTTAGTTCTCCTCCCAATGGTACAACCCTTGACAGCAGGACAGACACACGGCCACCCCAAACACTTGTTCTCTCCTCAGTTTAATGGTGGTTAGTGAGATTGCCAAACCCCCTCCCCATTCCCCTCCCCGCCCCGTACAAAATGTGTGTGTGGTTTTTTGTTTTTTTGTTTTTTGTTTTTTTAACAAGAAAAAGGGGGCAAAAGCCAGGAATGGGGAGAGGGGGGTGCAATCTGATATTTTTCATACAGACTTTTGATTTTTTAATATATTATATATAAAACCATAAAGACCACGAATCCTCCCCAAACTCCTTTCCCCCTCCCCGGGGGGCCTGGAGGAGAGATGGGGAAGGCCCCCCCAGGAGTGGGTGGACAGAGAGACAAATATGGATGGGACAGACGTTGGGGGAGAAGGTAGAGAGAAAGGGAGCCCAGGAACCTGGGGAAGGGGGATTGGAGAAAAGGGTTGGGGCTGTCTCCCTCACTGCCCCCATCAAAGTTATGACACAAAGACACAGAATCCCTATTTCCTCGCCCTCCCCCCACCCATCCCCCCACCGTGCAAACATGGCTTTGCAAAGAGGTGCCCAGAGCTCTGTGGAACTCTTACAATGGCTGGCATGGGGTCTAGGACCCCCAGAGAAATCTGTGTTCCCCTTCCCTGCCCACCCCACCCTTCCCAGAAACTGACCCCCTCCCCACAAGACCTGGTTTTGTAGCCTAGGGGCCCTGGCCTTCCCCCAGTTATCTTCCCCCAACCCAATCCCTACTGCCCTCCCTGGACTTGGGGGATCTGGACCTTTGGCCCCTGCCCTCTGGGGGACCCAGACCTCTGGGCCCTCACTTCTGGCCCGTGCAGAGACCAGGCATCCAACACCCCCATCCCTGCCCAAGCGTCTGAGGTGTTAGTGGTGGGGGGAGAAGCCCACCATCCCAGACTCTGGTAAATGTCTTTGCTGGTTCCTTGCAGCTGGCAGTGGGGGGGACCCCAGCCCAGGCCTAGGCCTGGGGTGGGGATAGGGTCAGATGAAGAATTCCTCTTTCCTCTTGTGTCCGTCGCTGCCGTTGAGGAAGGCTTCTCTTGCTTCTCCCTGTTCATCCAAGCCACTGGCTTCGTGGGTCAGATAGGAACCTGAGGGGGTGACAGACCCCCAGGGCAGGGAGGACATATTTGTGGACCCAGGAGTTGGACAGAAATATAGGGGAAGAGGGAGACAGACAAGGCAGATGCCAGACGAAGGAAGAGGGAGAAACCGAACCGAACACACAGGGAGAGGCAGAGAAAGAGGTAACAGCAGAATTAGGAAGACTCCAAAATCTCACCAAAAGTGCCACCCTTATCCCTTCTGTTGGAGGTATTGCCTTGCTCTGCTCCCAGCGAATTCAGCAATTAGGAAAATAAATTGCTTTATTCAAATCCATGCTCTTTTTTTTCCCCCCTACTTTTTTGTATTTTTAGTAGAAAAGGGGCTTCGCCATGGTGCCCAGGCTGGTCTCGAACTCCTGGTCTCTCAAGTGCTTTACCCACCTTGGCCTCCCAAAGTGCTGGGATTACAAGCGTGAGCCACCGCGCCCACCCACAAATCTATGCTTTTAATTCAGCTTCTAAATTCTACCCCTTTTCGAGTATTGTGCCGAAAGCCCCTCTCCCTTTTTCATCTTGGCCCCAGGTGCAGGGGGATTTGGAATCCAGCGCCTAGGCTCCGCCCTCTCGTTACCCTGGCTCTAGGCCCCGCCTCTTTCCGAGCCCCACAACCAACCAACCGCAGAGTCCAGGCCCCGCCCCACTCACCCTTCTGCCGTACCGAGCACCAGACCATGCCCACTAGAACACATATGATCAGAAACACCAGCAGCGCCAGGATGCCGCCCACAATGGCATAGGGAACCGACGTCTGAGCCTCTACCACCGCACCTGGGTCTGCCAGAGGGACAGGGCACAGGGCAAGGTAATCAGAGGACGGTCCCAGTCTGGCCCCATCGCTGCCAAACTTTTAAGCCATTCTGCACACGTCTAACCGCGCCCTTTTATGTGCCACACCCCTCAAAAATTACTGCCACCTTGTAGTCTCTTCTCTTTACAGATGCTTGTTGGTTTGTACACTGCCCGACCCCTCCCCTGAGTCATGTTGCATTTTCCTTTTCTTTTTCTTGTTTTCTTTTGCAGAGACGGGGGTCTCGCTATGTGGCCCAGACTGGTCTTAAACTCCTGGGCTCAAGCGATCCTCCGGCCTAGGCCTCCCAAAGTACTGGGATTAGAGGCGTGAGCGACCGCACCCGGCCATCCCTTTTCCTTTGACTCAAGTTTCTTCCTCCACTAAGAAACAGAGTCCAAGAAACAGGTCCAAGTCCCTTCCCACCTTGTCTAAAACGCTCCAAGTATTTAAAGTGCTGGGTTTCCAACTACTTCCAAATTTTCTGCCCCACCGTCATAGAGCTAAACACAGAACAGCTGTGTGCTAGAGCCCATTCCAACCACTTTACATATTTAGCTCACATAATCTTCACAACAACCTTGTTATATAGGTGCTATTGTTTATTTCCACTTTCCTGATGGGTTAACTGAGGCGCAGACAGGTTCGGTTATCTGCAATAGAATGCGGCCAACCCGAATTTGAGCCCCGCGGGCCAGTCTGGTCCCAAAACGACAGGAACTCTGTTGGCTGCCGAACCCCTGAGTTACGTGGCCTCTTTGCCCAAGCCCAGCCCCCGCCACCTGGCGCCCCGCCCCCGCCCTGAGCCCTGCCCGCAGCTCTGCCCTCACCGTAGACCACAAGTACGTAGAGCGCCCTCGCATGGCCGTGCTTATTGGACGCCTCGCAAGTGTAGGTGCCGTTATCCGCGGATACCAGGCCGGGAAGCGTGAGCGTCTCTCCCACGGCCTCCGCCCTCTCCGGCAAAGACTCATTCCCGCGGTTCCAGCGGATCTGGTTTGGCCTGGGTGGGGATAAAGTATAGTGAAAGTTAGGAACCCAGGTGCCAGCACCCAATTCTGACTTGTCAAGAATATAGACATGCAACTCTCATCCCGCAGGGACCTCCAAATAAGAGGCTTCCTGCTATCTCTTTACGGAAAACCAACAGTCCTGGGCCTACTTCCACCCATTACCGAGGTCTCAGGAATTCTAGCCCAGGCTGATCATGGTGGCTCATGCCTGTAATCCCAG